AGCTATAGCCTTTAGGCCTGTGAGGTTCAGGATTACTGCATGCTTTGGATTTGGGGGTTTCTGAAAATGGGGGACCCTAATATAGTACCCTAAACAATAGGATCCTTATTATAAGGACCCCAAAATAAGGTCCCTAAATAGTAGGATCCTTATTATAAGGACCCCAAAATAAGGTACCCCCTTAACTTCGGAAGCTCCCGGGTGTCTTGGCTATTGAGGAATTTGGAGCAAGCTATCGGCTGTGCAGTGCGGCCGTATGGTGATCAAACGGTTTAGGGTTTAGGGTTTAGGGTTTAGGGTTTAGGGTTTAGGGTTTAGGGACTCAGTTACCATAAAAGTTGCTTCTTAGTCTTGCAGGGCTTTACAACGGTTATCTTCGGTTGAGAACCTACTTTAGGTTCGCGTAACGATTGGACAGAATTACGTGTGTGGGTGCATGCATGTATACATATATATATATATATATATATATATATATGTGTATATATATATATATATGTTTGTGTATATACATAGAGCAACACTGCGCGGAGAGAAATCGATCCTGAACAAGAGCCATGCTCATAAAAAGACCCTACATAGACCTAAAAACATTTGTAAGATTTGTGAAGCCTCCAAGAAACCCCGTCGAGAATGCTATACAGTTCCTGCTGAAGCCCTCTTAAAACCGTTGTCCGAAACCTCCTCTTAAAACCGTGATAAAGTCCTTTGACGCCCTTTCTCAAACCCCTAGGTGTTGATCCAAACCGGTTGCCTGCTTCCTGTGGTGCGAAACCACAACCTCTATGCCGCAGAGGCTGCAGTAAATGCTGGCCCTGCTCCCGATGCTGGGCTTTTGGTAGTTCGCAGACCCTTTGAAGAGACCCTGATAGAAACCCGCCTTGTAGAAACCTTTACAGGAACCCTTAAGACCCGTATACCAGTAAAACCGTCAAAGGCTCCCACGAGTAGAAGCCCTACAAACCTACAAAGGTATCCTACCCTGAACTCTAAACCCTAAACCCTAAACCCTAAACCCTAAACTCTACCCTGAACTCTACCCTGAACTCTAGACCCTACTAGCATAGTGCTAAGGTAGGGCATGAAGGTTTCCATCACAGGGATCCTTTTCAAGGTCTGTGCTGCAATGGCTGTTGTTTGTTAAAATTGGCTTCTGCGGGCTTCGTAAGGTCTTGGTATATGGTTTTGACCGGGTTGTGAATTTCTTCAGTACCCCATTTTTTTGGAGTCAAACATGGTTTGTGGTCAGGGTTCTTGGGGCTATGCTCTCGCTCAGTATAAACAACCCTAAACCCTAAACCCTGGATCTCTTCACCCAAAACCCTGCATTTCCGACCTCAACCCCCAAAAAACTAGACACTAAAGGCCCCATAGTAGTTCCTTCTTGGGATTACTTAATCGGATCCTAGATATAAGCCACAAAAAGGAACTACTATGGGGCCTATGATGGGTATACTTATAAATGCCTTAGCCAACCCCTAAACCCCTAAACCCTAAACCCTAAACCCTAAACCCCTAAACCCCTAAACCCCTAAACCCCTAAACCCTAACCCCTAAACCCCTGACCCCTTAACCCCTAAACCCTAAACCCTAAGACCCCAGGATGCCAAGGAGGTGATCTTCTGGCAGAACCATATCGCCTTGAAGCCGGATGTCTCCATGTGCCTCTGGCGATACCTCAAGCAGCGGGTCCCTGATGAGGGCGACTTCCCCTTCAACCTGGTCTTCAAGAATGCGACCAGGTGTTTAAAAAACCCTGAACCCCTAAACCCTAAACCTTAAACCTTAAACCCTTAAGCCCTTAATCCCTAAACCCTAAACCCTAAACTAGTACGCGTTTTGGGGTTTCCTTGTAGTAACTGGGCAGCCACTAAAATTTTTACACCTCATGGCTAAGGGGTTTCGCTAATTGTCCAACTCTTCAGTCTTTTACTAGCGTAAAGTGCAAAACCCTAAACCCTAAACCCTAAACCCTAAACTTGTTGGATCCTCGAGTTAACTGGATAGACCCCAAGCCACGAACCCGTACTCTTAAGGCGCTGCTTGTCAACCTATATGGGAGTTTCCGAAAATAAGGGGTACCTTATTTTAGGGTCCTTATAGCAAGGATCCTACTATTTAGGATGCTATATTAGGGTCCCCTATTTGCGGAAACCCCCTATAGCTCATGCACAGGCCGTATATAAAGTGCCTACATAGGAGCCCCTTTAAGGCCTAATTAGATACGATATATATATATATATATATATATAGGTACATGGAGCCTGTGGGTTCGCCAACCCTAAACCCTAAACCCCGTAACCCTAAACCCTAAACCCCAAGCCCTAAACCCCGTAACCCTAAACCCTAAACCCCAAGCCCTATACCCTAACGGTTTTGGGTTTAGGGTTTACTTACGAACTTACGAGTTACACCTTATTGCTAAGGGATGACTTCTCAACCGAGGTGAACAATCTGCCGGGAAAAGCGCCAGAGCGCAAGGTCTATGGCTTGCCGGGAAATTTGGATGCTACGATGCCTGGGTTCCTGTTTAGGGTTTAGGGTTTAGGGTTTAGGGTTTAGGGATTTAGGGTTTAGGGTTTAGGGTTTAGGGTTTGGGGTTTCAGGGCTAAGGATTTAGGATTTCAGGGATAAGGATTCAGGGTTTCAGGGCTAAGGATTCAGGGTGTAAGGGCTTTCGGTCTAGGTTTTAAGTTACCATAGTAGTTCAGGGTTTCTTTCAAGGGTTGTGTAAGGGTTCTATAAGGGTTGAGAGCTTAAGGAAGTTAGTTTAAGCTACCATGGTAGAGACCTTTTAGTACACAATGGTAACTAGTTTCATTTGCTTATTATGGTATCTTAATTTAACTCCTTAACATCAACCCAGGATGGCTACCTATGCTGGGCTCAGCAGTCGCTTTGCAGCAGCTGTGCTTTTCCCTCACGATGTGGGCATGATCTCCTTCGACGATCTCTACGCCGTGGCACTCCCCATCTTCATGCCCGAACCAGAGCTCATAGCAACCATAGCTTATGCACAGCTGGCGAGCACCAGGAACTATCCCTGGTATCTACTGCGCGAGCAGCACGCGAAGCTTCACTATGCACCTGGGTGTAGGCCCTTGGGACATTGATGTTGTGTTTTGTGTGGTCTAAGAGCGTCCTGTGCGCCATCGTGCTTTTGAAGCAGATTATAAAGGGCCAACCTAGGTGCGGGCCGATGACGTAGATCCCCCCTGGGATCCTGGATGGAACTGGCAAAGCTGGCGCAACTCGAGCGCCATCTACACGGGAACTGGCATGCTTCTTACTCAGCCAAGGGATGCAGACTATTTATCCGTGCTTGGTTTTTGGTGGTGGCAGACCTCTGAGGTCTTTGTTCTTGGGTCCGTCTTAGGTATCAGAGAGCCCACAGAGACTTAGGGAAGCTTTTACTACAGAGCCCCAAGCTTTACCGCAAGATATTTGGGGGTTTCCGAAAATAGGGGACCCTAATCTAGCACCCTAAATAGTAGGCTCCTTATTATAAGGAGCCCAAGATAAGGTACCCCTACTTTTCGGAAACTCCCATATTTCGAATCCTTGCAGACTCTCAGCAACTAAAATCCACAAGCCCCCCCTTGTTCGGGCAAAAAAGCCCTAGTCCTCACAAACCAGAATGGAATTCATGCCGTCGTAGTGAGACCCTCCTAAGCCCCAAACCCCTAAAACCCTGTCTAAACGCTTGTTTAGCGTTTAGGGTTTAGGGAAGCCCCAAACCCCCCAAAACCCTGTCTAAAAGCCCGTTTAGGGTTTAGGGTTTAGGGTTTAGGGAAGCTCCAGCCAACCCCCAAAACCCTGTTTAAGCGCCTGTGAAAGCAGAAAGCAGCGAAGGCTTGACGCCGGAAGGCTACGGGAGGCCATTGCAACGGCGAACTATGTTCTGCCACCCGGTTTAGGGTTCCGGGTTTAGGG